CTTTGCTTCCAGGGCGTCATCCCGCCGCCTGTGGTGCAAAAGATTCGTCAGACAACCCATCGCATCCTCATCGACCCTACACCCATAACGCGGGCGCATCGTGGACGCCAGCGCCAAGATCTCGAGGCGGGCGGGCTTGCCCGCAATCGCACGCCACGCGATCATGGTTCAATGAGCTCGTGAATGGTAGTTTTCGGTGGGCACGTTGGGGCATGGGGAGGGAGCATAGCGAGCACCGCCGCCTCGTATGCTCAAACACGCGGGATCACGTTTGACTTTACTGCGCCCGACGCCACGGGCCATGACGCCCGCCCCTGAGACAGGGGCGTCCTCACCCTGGCCCCTGGGCTTCCGCATGAGAGCCAGCGGGGCGCTCGCCTGCGTGAGCTTCCTGAGCCTCATGCCGGCGCGAGGGGCCTCTACGTGGAGAACGGCGCTCGGAGGGGCAGCAGTCGGCATGATCACGAACCTAGGCGCCCTGTCCTTCTTGGCGTGGCCGTGGCTACCACGCCGCACAGGCCCAGCGCTGCCCGACAGCGACATGCAGTCACTCAAGGGCGAGCTCGAGCGGATGCGTGAGCTGACGCGGGCATCGGGCATGGCAGCAGGAGGTGACCATGGAGAAAGCGGACCCGACGGCGAGACCGAGGGGCTGGCTGCCGCCGTGCCCTTCGGGATTCCCGGTGGAGCCCCCGCCCTTCCGCCCGCCCTCGGCGCCAGCGGCGCCGCCGCCAGCGGCTACGCGCCCGTGGGGGCCAGCGCCCTCGGCGACTTGGCGGGCTGGGCGGGGGCGCCTGGGACCGCGGGCGGCGGCGAGGCCGCCCATCGCCCGGCAGAGGTCGGAGCCACCAGCAAGGCGGGCGCCTCCCTCGTGAAGGACTACTTGATGACCACCAGCGCCACCGCCCACGCGGACCCCTACTGGGCCACGAAGTTCTGGGACTCAGTGGCGAGGCTCGAGCAGGGCGGCCGCCTCGACATGTCCGTGGTGCACCTCTTGCGCGGGTACGGCTACGTGGGCGCAGGTACCGTCACGGTGCCGAGAGTGGCCGGCCTGGCCCGAGGGCTGGAGGCCTTGGCCTCCAGTGCAGCGCCTGCCCTCGGCGGGGCGGCGGGCGACCCGCTGGGCCTCGGAGGCTTAGCCACGGCGGGAGGAGGCAGTCAGGAGACGAGATGGGGAGCCGGCCCCCCGCCAGATATGCAGAGGGCCGGCGCGGAGATCTATCGAGCGATGAGGGCTGAAGGATGCACTTCTACACGAGATTGGTTGTCGGCTCGGTGCGGCGGGAGCCGCGCGTCGCCCGTGTGGACTGAGCTATGGACGTCGGCATCTACCGTGGACTTTGCCGCGCGGGACTGCAAGACCGAAGATGACCTCATGAAGTTCCTGAGTACCAACGACCTGATGGAGATCTCCCTCCGCCGCCTGGCGGCGTACATGTATGAGAGCAGGTCAGGTGACCGCGCGGGGGCGCTCCACATGCTGGGGGGATCACCTCCAGGCAGCCAGACCGACGTCGCGCCGAGCTGGCTGGTGCAGTCGGCCACCGCCCACAGCAAAAGCAGAGGAACGAGAGGGCGGCCGCCGACCTGAGGCGGCGGGGCGGCAAGGGCGACAAGGGCGAGAAGGACGAGACCAAGAAGGGCCCCCCGCCAGGGGGGGCCAAGAAGGCTGAGTGACAGAGGGTCGCCTCGGCTGGGACAGCAGCTACCAGCCGAGGCAGTGAGTGCGGCCGATGGGTCCAGAAGCACGTGCTGGACGAGACCCACGGGCTGCGCGAGTTGCTGCACACGGCGCCTGGCGCCAAATTGTACCCGATCCCTTTGGTAGAGGCTCCTGGGCGGCCACGCAGCACGTCCAACCGCCTCCGCCAGCGTTTTCACAAGAAGTCCGCCCTGATGACTTTGGCAAATGGGTACTTGTCGGCTCTGAGCGCCATGTATCGGGGAGACTGCCGAGAGCTCGCACGGGGGAGCCGTGATCAAGATCGTTTGAAGGAGATGCCCCCCCCCACCACCAGCGAATTCAGCGACTGGCTCTACGAGAGGCAGCGCGTCTTCGAGAGGCGCGCCGGGACTGCGGTCTGACAGGCGCCCAGGCCATCGAGAAGTTGGTGAAACCGGCAGCTCTATCATACACGGGAGCCCAGAGGCGCAAGACTGCGCATGAGACCCTGCGACCCCATGCTGTAGATCAGCCCCTGGGCCCCCGAGTGGCACCCATGTTGCCCGCGTTGAGTCCAGAGGAAGCGGCCTTCTACTCCGAGGAGTCCAAAGTAGTAGCGGCCCCAGAGGCCCGCTCGCAGGCCATCTTTCGGGAGCTCGAGCAGCAGTACGGCTTCGTCGGAGGATCTGAGGAAGACTGCGCCAGGTATTTCCTGAAGCAGGACATCGCCCCCAATCTCTGGAAGTTTGGGTTTCGAGAGGACGTTCGAGCTATTGCAGGATTCTCAGTGGTGCCCAAGAAAGACCCAGCTAAACAACGTAAGATTATCATGATGGTGGCCTTGAACTATATGTTTCAAGATGTACGTCCTCGCGAGGAGCACGGACTCCACGGCGGGGCAGCCCTTGCCAGTGTGCACGTGCGAAACGATTTCGTCAGCGCGTCGGCCTTCGACGAGAGCAAAGCTTCCACCTCGGTGGAGGTGCCTGAGTGGATGTGGGCGCGGCAAGCCGCACCCCCTATCCGGGCCGGCCTGATCTGGGCTGTTCTTCCCTGGGACGTCCGGGGGCGGGCCAGGCCTGGAGACTGGATCTACCCCATGTGGAAACGCCTAGTCATGGGGGGCTCGCACAGCGTCCACATCCTGATGAATATTAATATGACCAGCGTGGGCCGCACGCTCGTTCGCAGCTGCGGCCTGCGGCGGGGCTGCTCGGAGGAGGATTTCGACGTCAATGAGGAGGGCCAGTTTTTGGGTAAAAACGACGAGGATTGGGCCCAGGAGAGCATAGCTAAGAAGTCCGAGGACGTAAGTAAGGGGTTCACCGTGAACGGTTGGGTTCAGAAGGTCCTAGAGGTTAAGGCGTCGGGGAAGGATGTCGCTGTCGTCGTGCACCTGTTCGCAGGCCCGAGGAGGCCAGGGGATCTGGAGAAGTGGCTCCACGTCTTGGGGGCCGCGCACGGCCTGGAGATCTTGGTGCTCTCGTGCGACCTCGAGCTGGACCCCCACTGGGACCTCGCCATTCCTGAGACCTTCCAGAAGTTGTGGGGCCTGGTGGCCCAGGGTTACATTGATGGGATTGTTGGAGGGCCTCCCTGCTCAACGTGGTCTCGGGCCCGCTTCGTCAAGTTGCTTGGGGGTCCGAGGCCGCTGCGTTTTCGAAGCAAGTGCGTCTGGGAGTCCAATATCTTGACCTTGAATTTCCTGTCTCTTTGCGAAGGAGGTTCTGCCCAGGGAGGGGTGCACATCCACGAGCATCCCGAGGGCCCGGGCGAGGATCCCTACCCCTCAGTTTACAGCGCGGAGGTGATGTGTGCCATGGGGGAGCGCACGTCGGCTGTGCGCGTGAGTCTTGATCAGTGCATGTACGGCGGCCTGGCTCGCAAGGCGACCACGCTGTCGGGCACGGCCGATGGGCTTTGGGAGGGGGAGTGCCGACGCGATGGAAGACACCAACACCACAGGAGCATCGGGCGCATTGCGGGGAAGGGGGACCGGCCTGACTTCGCGACCACACGGTTGGCTACGCACCCGACGGCCTTCAGCCGCTTTCTGGCTTCTTGCCTCATGCGGAGCTTCGTCAGGAAGCGCCGAGAGAGGTCAGATCCGCTCGCAGTTGCTCTTCCCCCGCGTCGTGCTGCTAGGCTTTCGCAATGGTCGAGGCCGAGCAGTTCCCGGCACGAGCGGGGGCTCCACATACTCAACGAGACTAGCGTCAAGATGAAAAACACTGTCTTGGACAAAGGTGATTTAGGATTTTACCTCCATATTGACGATGGCCTGGCGATGGCGGATGGCCAGGACCACATAGGCTCCAGGGGGGCCTCGAACGTTTTCATGCATCGAGCTGCCGACGACCTAGTGGAGCTGGGTTTTAAAGTTACCGGTCGCCGTGAATCAGACGAGATGGACAAGGTTGTAGGTTATGAGATCCAGCAAAATCCTGCTCGACTTAGGTTACATGCTCCGAAGGCCGCGGCCCTGTACGAGGCCATGCCCTACCTAGAACGTCGCACCTGGGTGTCTCTGGATGCCGTATCTTCAGTACTGGGAATCTGGGTTTGGGCGGCGCTGCTGGCTCGACATTGGCTTGCAGCGCCGCAACATATCTTCCAGTTTGCTAAGCAGAACGAGGGGCCCCCTGGGCGTCGAGGGCTCCGCAGATGGCGGCCCAGTGCTCTGAGATAATGGAGGGTTATGAGGTGTGGGCTCATGGGGCTCTACGTGGACCTGGGGGCCCCCATCTCGGAGGTGGTTCTGTCTACGGATGCTGAGGGGTCGAACGGTCTAGACTGCGGGGGCTACGGTATTGTCGCCACCGTGATGTCGGACATCGAGCCCCGCCTGCTTTGTTTGGGAAGCCGGGACTAGACCTGGATGCGCTCTCGCTCGCCTGGGCCAGGAGAAGCGCGTCCTCGAGAAGGCCACCCGCTCGTTGCACCCCAACCTCCCTGTCAGTTCGGTTCCGAAGGAGATCTGGGATACGGCTCGCTCCTGGATCCCAGTCGCTGCCGGTCGGTGGAGGTGGGGGGAGCACATCACGGTGGGGGAGATGAGGGCCGTCGGTTCTGGCGCTGGAGAGGTTGGTGCAAGTTCTTAAGTTTCTAGAGGAGTAAGGTGATATCTTTCGAGGACAACATGCCTTGCTCGTGCGCCATTGCCAAGGGAAGGTCCGCGGCGGGTCCGCTCAACTTCCTTCTCCGCCGCCGATGCGCCCTGTGTGCTGCCGCAGAACTACGCCTGCTGCTGCCCTGGGTCGAGACGTGGCGGATGCCTGCTGACTGGGTTTCGCGCAGTAGGACATGGAGGGAGGTGTTAGAGGGCACCCCGCAGGACCAGGACCAGGGCGTCCAGCAGGCCAGGGCGTTCCAGAAGTGATCGATGTGCATGAGGAGGGGAGGGTCTCTGCTTCTACCGTCCTCAAGTATAAAGAGGCGGTGGTTCCTTTCGTCAAGTGGTGTGTCAGAGAAGGGGTGGAGCCGTTCATCCCGGACCAGTGGGATGACGCTATCATGGGCTTCAAAAGGTTTGGGGGCTCCGAGGCTGTGGGGATGGGGGTCCAGACTAAGTCCGAATTCACCCTGCTCCTCGCGGCGGTGGAGTTCCGCTTTCCGCGCATGAAGGGGAGGCTGTGTCGAGTTAGGGCGGCCATCAAGGGCTGGGACTATGCTCGCCAACCTCGTCATACCGTCCCCATGATCAGTAACGTGCGTGCATGGATGCGTATTCATTTGTGTGCCAGGGGTGTGCCGCGCCTGGGTTTCGGCATCGTGATCCAGGACAAGTTCGGGATGAGGCCGAGTGAAATGCTGGGGGTTGAGGCTGACGACGTCACCCTTCCGGAGGACTGGGGTTATCCTGGAGGCTCTGGGCCAGTCGTCATCGGTCTGGGGATCAGGGCCATGACGAAAGCCAAGCGCTCGCAGTCTGTGTCTTTCTTGGAGGAGCTGGAGCCAGGCCTCGCAGAGGGCCCCAGGATTCTTCGTCGTCATACTCCCAAGGGCCAGCGACTTTTCCCGTACTCCCCGGCACAGTACCGTACCCTCATAAAGACCGTGCAGGCCTCGTTCAAGCTTGACGTCGGGTGGGGGCCGCACAGCCCCCGCGCCGGGTTCGCTTCGGAGTCGACCGCCCTCGGGATCCCTTTCGAGACCATCAGGGAAATGGGAAGGTGGAGGGTCGACTCCTCGCTGCGCATCTATATTGATGTGGTTCAAGCGTCACAGGTAAGTACAGCTCTACGCGCAGCAGGTTTACAGCCAGCCCTCGACTGGGCTGCTCGCTACTGGTTCCCTACGTTCCGCCAGGCTTTCGATGGTTGGGTCCAGGACGCCCAGCATCAAGGCCGCGCTCCGCAAGGGCGCGGCCGCGCAGGCCAAGGGCGAGGGCGTGGAGTCGGGCTCGGAGGTGGGCTCGTGGCTGGAGGTGGGCAGCCCGGGAGCCAGCTCGGCGAGGGCGCCCGCCACGCCGATGCAGAACCGCGCGGACACGCCACCTCCTCGGACCCCAGGGGGCCTGGGCATGGGCGGGGCCTCCTACCCTCCAGTGCCGCCGTGGAGGGCTACCACGCCGCCACCGTTCCCGGAGGCGCCGCCGCTGCCGCCATCCACGCCCAAGGTCAGCGCGAAGATGCAAGCGTGCCAAATCGCTTAAGGCGGGCAAGGGCGGCCAGCTACAGTGGGTGATGAAGTGCGCGCCGTCAGGACCTCTTCTGGGCAAGCTCGCGCTGGCCGCCATGGTGCTGAGTATCCTCCCCGCCAGCCTCTTCCCCAGCGCCGCCAGGGGCCTCATCGTCATGACGGACGTGGTGGAGGAGGTAGGATCCGCGGCGGGGAGGATCGTGACCGCAGGAGCGAATGTGAGCACGAGCGCAGCGAAGCTCGTGTCGGCAGTGACGGATGGGTCGATCGGCCTGGTCGAGGCGGCGCGGCGCGGCGTCGACCTGCTGGACGCCCAGGTGCTGGGCAGCACCGGCAGGTTCTTCGTCGAGGATGAAGGCGACTGGCCCGCCTTCCTCCAGGAGCCAGAGGTCCAGCAGGTGCTGCAGCTCGAGCCGGAGTTTTCTGATGAACTGGAGCGCCTTTTGCTCTTCTCTTCGGCCACTAGGCCGAGAGGCGAATTCACACACAGTGCTTTCCGCTCTCCTAAGAGTTACCAGTCCGTGATGTTTTGGGCCCGCTGGCTTCCCAGCGGCCACGTCGGGATCGCCTGGAGGGTGGTCGCGATCCGCTTTCGTCCGCAGTGGGCGAACCCAGCGCGGGGGCTGCTCGGCATGGATGAGGCGGCCGAGGCACCAGCCGTGGCTGAGCAGCTCAAGGTTTTGGCGGATTCGTCCTTTCCCGCGCCTGAGCTAGATCTCGGCCCCGAGATGCTCCGTGGTACTCCCGCCCTCCTTGGAGGTTCTACTCGCAGGCTCGTCCGACGCGTGCGCCGCGCAGTGGCGCGGGTCCTTCCGTTTTTTTTTCCTTTCAGCAGGCGCGAGCAGCCGCGCCTCCTGGAGACAGACCGCACAGCGAATACGGGCGACGGGTACTCGTTGAATGGCACTGGCCTGGTTTCGGCTGGAGAAGTGCCGCTCGCGGATGCGGGTGGTGGTGAGCGTTCTTGAGCCAGCCAGCCCAGCAGTCCAGTCCATTTGAAGCATTCGAGTTTCAGTTTCAGGAGAAGTGGAGATCTGGAGGCCCCTGCATCAGATGCAGGGGCCAGGCTAGACACACGTGCAGGAAGAGTGTTGTTTGGTAACATCTGAGCGGCAGCAGAAGGTGCATCCCCGTCAGTGATAACCTGTCCTAGGGTGGGCCCCGACAATACTGCTGAAATGGTTTAGTGAGCTCGTGAATGGTAGTTTTCGGTGAGCACGTTGGGGCATGGGGAGGGAGCAAAAAGAGCACCGCCGCCTCGTATGCCCAAGCACGCCCCTCCCGCGTCGCCGATCGCAGCCTGACCCTTTTTTTCTGTTTTTCCTGATGGCCGTGCGGTAGCGCGTGGCGATGCCGACCTCGTTCCAAATATGCACATGCCGAGGACCGCCCAGGGGTCGTCCGAGTCCACCTGGAAAGTTCAGGTGTTGAGGAGCTTCTTGGGAGAAATCCTGCAGCAGCTCCTGGACCTGGAAGGCGGGCGGTCGCAAGTCTCCCGCATCAGAACCGAGAGTGAGCTGGGGTCAGCTCGTTGTCACGCAGCATGGCTGGCCCCATCGACGAACTCAGCCAGGGCCCGCCCCAGCTCGGGCTGCCCAGCCACTGGCAGTGCCGGGATGCCAGCGGAGGAGCCGCGGCTAGCCCGGCCAGGCCTAACAACGGAGCCGCCGCGGCCGTCGTCGCCCCCCACTCTCTCGGCGGCGTCCACAAGGGGGCTTGGTGGAGGGGGGAAGGCTCCGTAGAAGGATGCTGTTCTTCGAAAGAACTAGCTCTACATCTACAGACGAAGCCCGCGCCTTCCAAGAAGGAAGGGTGTTTCTGAGAAGCCGTCCCCCCTCTCCCGTCTCTTCGGGTGGCTGACTGTCCGTGGCGTGCGCCGCACAGACCTTCTCGCCCGGCAGGGCGGGGGCATCGACGCCGCGGGCGGCGCAGACACGGCAGCGCAGCGCCATCGGAGATGGAGGCGGAGGGCGTGGGCAGCCGGAGAAGGGCAGTGTGTGTCGAGGGAGAGCGGCGCTCGAGGGAGCTTGTCCTTGAGCCAGGTGGGGGCAGAGAGAGGCCTGGGTACCTACGTGCCCAGGGTCCAGGTAGCAAATAGATGGGCATGCCTTGACAATGCTGTTCACCCTCGACGTTCTTTGCTGTCCCCTTGCATGAAGGTCCCATGATGAGAACTGCCAGCTTCCCAACTGATGGAATGGGACTCCACCGTGCTAGCAAAAGCCGAACGAGACGAGGAGGTCGGGGACTTATCCGCAATGGCGGGGTGCTACGCATCGGTCCCCCTTCCTCACCTGAGACAGTGACCCCTTCCGTAACTACCCCCTTCTGCGGCAATTCATGGGAGCCTACCATACCATCTGGTTGGCTCTTGCGAATCGACGCTAGTCGACTCTTCATCGACGCTAACCGGCGCGACGCTCAACGACGCTAAATCGGCGATTTCTCGTCGATAACCTGACGCTAGCGCACGCTACTGCACCCGAGACGTGGGAAGACTGAGACAAGCGAGGCTCCCATGATTTGCTTCCGCATCCCCCCCCCCCTCGGGAGCGTCCAAGAGGGGGGCGTCCAAGAGGGGTGTTCGCAAAGGCAGGCGCGCGGTCCAAGGGGGGGGCCAGGGGGGACGTAGCAAGACAAGAAGAGGCGCCGTGAAATCTGGGAGACGTCCTGGCCCTGGCCATGACCTCCCCCCCCCATACAGTAGGAGCTCGACCACAAGAAGCCTTCGTCGAAAGAAACCAACCCTGAGACCCCATGACGCCCGCTGATGTTTGGTGTGGGAACGCCACGCCTTCCATCGCCAAGAACCATCGAAATCTAGGAAACCCAGGGCACCCTCTCGAGGCAAGCAGGGTGTTTCTTGGCAATGGGCTTCCCCTGTAGTCTTAGGTCGGGCATGTCATCCTGCAAGCAAATCTTGGACGAAACGCAAAACATTACCAAAACATGCTCCAAACATGATCGAACATGGTAGAAAAATCGCCCCCAGACTTTTTCTGATTCTTATTGAATACTCCTCCGGTAGAGGGACACGCCCGACCTGACTGCAATCATCACCCTCCCCTCGGCCGCCCCCGACCCCCCCTCGAGCCCGCCCGCCCCCAGGCGGCCGAGCGAGGACCCCTCCGCCCGCCGTCCTCGGTGGTGACCACGGGCGCCGGCGCCTCCTCGTCTTCCGCGCGCCGCGCCGTCGAGAGGCCGCGGAGGCCGCCCTCGCGCCCGCGCGGAGCGGCCGGGATCGACAGAAAACCAGAACGAGGCCCAGTCTCGTCGGGGGGAACGGGAGGGGGGGATAGCAAAGGGTAGGGTAGAGAATCGGCTCACGCAGCTGATTTTCCCAGCGCCTCCCCGCGCCGGGAGGCGCCCATGTAACGAGGAATGGGCCCGGCGGCGGGGCCGAAACCAGCTGCTTGCAGCAGATTTCGTACCCCCCCCCTTCCCTATCCCCCCCTTTCGCTCGGCCCGATCTTGGGCAGAAGCACGTGGATGACCCGGGCAGAGCACCCCAACGGCAACGAAGCGCGAGCGGCAGGCATATCCGTAGCCGCGCCCTCGCGGTCTGCATCCCGGGGCGCGACCCCCCCGGATATGCTGTCGCGCGGATACGTGCCGCGCGGGGCACGGATACGTTGCGCGCGGGGCACCCCGGAACAAACGCCTCGTAGCCGCGGGGTCGCGGCCCAGGGGCCCGGCCAGCGAGGCCGCGGATACGAATATGTTTTTGGCCCGCGAGCAGACGTGAAGAGACGGGTCGAGGCATAGGAGAAGCACGGCCGGGGCGCCCATAAGAAGGAGTGGCGCAGCTGAGACAGGGTCGGGAGCACGGCCCTCTGCGCCTTGGCAGGAGATCGTGGCGTTGCGGTCCAAAAGTGCAGCCGGCACTGAAGCAACAGAGCACGATTCCTGAATACATTGTGGGGAAGGTTCAGGCGCTGCAGAACGGGGCGGTCTAGGGCTTCCCGTCCGCCCCCGTGGGACTCTGCATGACTCTCCTGCGGCCCACTTGTGCCACTAACAGAAACTTCTAGCAAATGTTAGAAAGAGCCGGGACTGGCGCAACGTTGGACCAGGATATGTGGGGCATCTCTGAGGTCCGACGGTTCTGGAGAGCATATAGTCGGGGTTGATTGCAGAGGACACGCGAGAGGACACAAGATCCTTCCGAGGGCCACATTGCCATAGGAATGTAAGCCTGAAGGGGCGATAATACACCCCCTGGGATAAGAAAGCTCGCGGTTCCCGCGGGGATTATAAAGGATTTTCCCAGGGAAGGTAAGCTATGATGAGGATGATGATGATGATGATGATGATGATGATGATGATGATGATGATGATGATGATGATGATGATGATGATGATGATGATGGAGGAGGAGAAGGATGAGGTTGAACCAGGCGCACGACAGAAGCCTGACTCGAGCGATCTCGAGGCTCGTGGCTACTTGCCCGCAGAAGCGCACTACACTGAGATTACTCGAGAGATCTCGAGGCTCGTGGCTACTTGCCCGCAGAGGCGCAGGACACAAGGCTGACTCGAGCGATCTCGAGGCTCTCTAATCAAAATGCTGCTGATGCTGTTTTTGATTATGTTGCTAATCAGCATGAAATGATAGCAACTTCGATCCCCGCAACTTTCCAGGTGATTATCAAGTTCGACCCCCGCGCATTCCCCACATATGGAAGCCTGTGGGCGGGGATAAAAAAAGGGGAAGGGGGGGTACTTATTATGGCCCCTTCGGGGTTATGAAGGCATGGGTCCCGACGCTCCGGACACGAGGGTATGTGGCAAGGTCGACCTACTAATCAGTCTCGACTGTATCGGCCGCCCCAGAGCGCTGCAGACCGCTCTCTGAACGCTCCAGAACGCTCTCCAGCGACATCTCCCCGTCCTGGGCCCGCCCGAAGAAGCCCCGTCGTCGTCGATCGTCGCCGTCGTCGCCACCGTCTTCGTCGTCGTCGCCGCCGCCGCTCTCGTGAAGCTTCCAACCTTTCGGGGCGCGGTCGCTGCTGGATTTGTCACCGTCAGACCCTCGAGCACGGACGTGCGAGGGTGTGGGGGGGAGGAGGGGGAGGACGGGGAGGGGGATGAGGAGGGAGAGGAGGGGGAGGGGGAGGAGGAGGGGGAGGGGAAGGAGGAGGGGGAGGAGGGAGAGGGGGAGGAGGGAGAGGGGGAGGAAGGAGAGGGGCACGAGGAGGGCGAGGACAGGGAGGGGGATGAGGAGGGAGAAGGGGAAGGAGGAGGGGGAGGAGGGGAGAGGGGAAGGAGGGGGGGAGTCGCGGCTTGCAGAGGCTCCCGCCAGCACCAAAGCCTTCTTCGGGTCCGAGCTGCCTCCCACCAGCCGACGGCCGTGTGCAGAGGCGTCGCAGCCGTCCCTAGTTGTGAGTAACGCAGTTGTGAGTAACGCAGTTGCGTTTTCGGTAAGGATGTGCCGAAATGGGATGTACCGACATGGGCGCGGTCGGCGCATGCGAACGCGTGTGAGCGGTGTGACGAAATGGGTGTGGTAGCGCCACGCGAGCGCAGCCACTGGGGCCTTCGGAGGAACTATGGGGCCACGAAGCGTGTTAGCGGTGTGCCGAAATGGGTGCGGCGGTGCCGTGCGAGCACAGCCACGGGGGCCCTCGGTGGAGCTCCCTATGGGACCACGATGCGTGTGATGGGTGTGCCGAAATGGGTGCGGCGGTGCCGTGCGAGCACAGTCACTGGGGCCCTCGGTGAAGCTCCCTATAGGGCCACGAAGCGTGTGATGGGTGTGCCGAAATGGGTGCGGCGGTGCCATGAGAGCGCAGCCACTGGGGCCCTCGGTGGAGCTCCCTGCGGTGCAAGGATGGACGGATGGAAGGAGGGAGCAGCGGGAGGAACGCGTGGCACTCTTTTCAAAACGAGGACCCAACACCACAAGATGGTTGGGAAAAACTACGCAAACATGAACTGTTGGAAGTCCGCGCGGATTTCCTGGATCGGCGCTGGCGCCCCTTCCTGGCACGCGGAACGCGCCAGGGGCGGCGCCGGAGGCGCTGCCCTGTGCTCCAGCACCGATCCGAGGAGTCCGCGCGGACCTCCGAGGTGTTCTGTCTAATGTCGTTGCTTGTTCTCCCCCGGTCGAGTGAGTGCCCACACGCCCGGCTCCCCCCTCCGCGGCAGCCCCCTCGCCTCCCCCGCTTCCTCTTGCGTGCGGGTTTTTATTCGCGACTCCGTGCCCCGGTCTCGCTCGGACGCGCGAGCGGATTGCCTCTGCCCCGCCGCGGCGTAAAACATCCCCCCGTCGGCTCCAATCCCCACGTCTGCCAGGCTCGGCGGTGGACAAGCCTCCCTTTAATAGACCTCCCCTTAGTGAAAAAGGCTTGGGACCGAAACCGACGGACCTGGACCCGCATAAATGACGGCCGCGACGCCCTCTCGCGAACCAAGAACGGCCAGTTCCTTCATCGACGTGCCAAGGTAGGTCTGTCCATCCCTGACAGTCGGGTGCCCCGCTCCGGGCCAGCGCGGGCGGGCCTTGCGCTGGTTCAGAGCCAGGCCGATGGCGGCGGCCAGCCCGGGCCTCGGGGCCGGGCAGCAGGAGGGAGGAGGAGGGCGAGAGGAGGTCGGGGTGGAGCTGGGCAGGGACCGACCGTCCCAGCATTCCTATAGTCCTCGCACGAAATGTTCTTAGAACCCAAACATGTTCTAAGAACGAAAACAATGTTCTTAGAAAATTAACCCGATGTGTTAACACAATACAGACTCCGCCAGAAATGTTCTAACATTTCGTGGAAACCAAAAAAAGTTCTTGGAACATTGTTTGGTAGGGCCACAGGCGAGCAAGGACGCGGTCTGTTCGCCTCGCTGCCCGAGTAGTGTGCGCTGCCGAGCACACGGACAAGTTCGAGCCCAGAGATCCGATGCTGGGGTTTTTCGATACAGGGCCCCTGGAAGACTCGACCCATCCTTAAGTCGGGCCTGTCCCCCTACAGGGTGATGTTCGAGGAAAATTGAAAATAGTCCAAATCCGCCGACCCCAGAGGCGTGTGCGATATCCTTCTTAGCTGGACGCAATGTCTTCTTACACGCCACAATATCTCTTCCAACGCTCCCCTCCTGGCCCCAATACTGGCTCCGGCATCCCCACCCCAGGAGAGCTCTATTCTTGGGACCCCCCACACGACAATTTCTCACCCGAAACCTACCAACGCCCCCCTCCTGGCCCCCCTCCTGGCCCCGGCATCCCCACCCCGGGGGAGCTCTGCTCTTGGGACCCCCCACACGACAATTTCTCGCCCGAAACCTACCAACGCCCTCCTCCTGGCCCCCCTCCTGGCCCTGGCATCCCCACCCTGGGAGAGCTCTGTTCTTGGGACCCCCCACACGACAATTTCTCCCCCGAAACCTACCAACGCCCCCCTGGCCCCTCTCCTGGCCCCGGCATCCCCACCCCGGGAGAGCTCCATTCTTGGGGGAGCTCTACTCTTGGGCCCCACCCGACCGGACAATTTCTCGCCCGAAACCTACCAACGCACCCCTCCTGGCCCCCCTCCTGGCTCCGGCATCCCCACCCCGGGAGAGCTCTATTCTTGGGACACCCCACACGACAATTTCTCCCCCGAAACCTACCAACGCCCCCCTCCTGGCCCCCCTCCGGCCCCTCTCCTGGCCCCGGCATCCCCGCCCTGGGAGAGCTCTACTCTTGGGACCCCCCACACGACAATTTCTCGTCCGAAACCTACCAACGCTCCCCTCCCCCCCTCCTGGCCCCGGCATCCCCACCCCGGGAGAGCTCTATTCTTGGGACCCCCCACCGACAATTTCTCCCCGAAACCTGCCCCCCCTCCTGGCCCCGGCATCCCCACCCCGGGAGAGCTCTGTTCTTGGGACCCCCCACACGACAATTTCTCGCCCGAAACCTACCAACGCCCCCCTCCTGGCCCCCCTCCTGGCCCCGGCATCCCCACCCCGGGAGAGCTCTGTTTCTTGGGACACCCCACACGACAATTTCTCCCCCGAAACCTACCAACGCCCCCCTCCTGGCCCCCCTCCTGCCCCGGCATCCCCACCCCGGGAGAGCTCTATTCTTGGGAGAGCTCTATTCTTGGGACCCCCCACGCGACAATTTCTCGCCCGAATGCTACCGACGCCCCCCTCCTGGCCCCCCTCCTGGCTCCGGCACCCCCACCTCGGGAGAGCTCTATTCTTGGGACCCCCCACACGACAATCCGCCGACCCCACGAGGCGTGCGGGGCATCCCTCTCCGCGCCTGACACCGCCAGCCTCCTGAAGCCTCTGGGCATAAGTTTTTCGAGGCTGCCCACTCAGCAAAATCCTCCCCGGGCCCCCCCCACCGCGGCTCCACCACGTCTGACACCGCCAGCCTTCTGGAGCCTGTCGCACCCGACATTTTCTCGCCCGAAACCGCCCCGCCGTCGACCAGGTCCGACACTCCCACCTCGCCCTGGGACCTCTGTTATTGGGCCACCCGACCGGACAATTTCTCGCCCGAAACCGTTCCGCCGTCGACCTGGTCCGACACCCCCACCCCGCCCTGGGACCTCTGTTCTTAGGCCACCCAACCCGACAATTTCTCGCCCGAAACCGCCCCGCCGTCGACCTGGTCCGACACCCCCACCCCGCCCTGGGACCTCTGCTCTTGGGCCACCCCACCCGACAATTTCTCGCCCGAAACCGCCCCGCCGTCGACCTGGTCCGACACCCCCACCCCGCCCTGGGACCTCTGTTCTTGGGCCACCCCACCCGACAATTTCTCGCCCGAAACCGCCCCGCCGTCGACCTGGCCCGACACCCCCACCCCGCCCTGGGACCTCTGTTTTTGGGCCACCCCACCTGGCAATTTCTCGCCCGAAACCGCCCCGCCGTCGCCCTGGTCCGACACCCCAGCTCGCCCTGGGACCACTGTTCTTCCCAGAGGTCCGGATCAGCTGTTTTTGAGCAGTATGAATTAACAGCTTTTTTTTAGTTGTAACATCATGTGTGTTTTTATGATTTAAAGGGAGTTTGTTATCATAATATGTATTTCGTGTTGTGGTGCATCAATTGGAGTTGCTGAAATCATATTCGTGTTGCATGTGCACAAATCTGTTTGATGGCATGTGTTGCGCGCGCCCCCTTGCCCATTGCAATCCCAAACTCAAGAGAACCCAGCGATTAGTTGAGTAAATCATCCAATGTTTGCAAGGCTGTCGACAAGCGAAACACGATCGCGGTTTTGACTGTATGATTGAAGACGTTTGCAAAAGATACCCTGCGGTACACGTGATCAAGGAAAAATTGGCCAGCGTCGACGCTGACAGAGGGACGGCGGAGAGGGATGGAACAGAAAGGCGAGCAGAGAGGGAGGAGAGGGAAGAGAGAGAGGGAGAGGAGGAGAGCAGGGAAGAAGATGGAAACGATGGAGAACACGGAAGAGGGAGGACGCAGAACACGGAGTAGGAGGATGGCGACAACGAGGGATGGACGGTGAGCGCTGGATAGCAAGAATGTACCACTGTGTTTTGGACTGAGCGGGGGGCTGCGCCGCTGATCTCAGCTCTGGCTCCGACCTAGTCGGAGTCGTCGGGGTACGGCCCACGAATCGGGCCCCTTACACCAGCAAGAGGATCTTCAGTGAGCCAACGCTTCACCGTGGAGCCCCGATGCACCACGCGTGTGCCGTTACAATTGAATCTCGAGAACCTTGAAATTGAACCCTCCCCCCCTGTGTTTTCGACATTGGGCTTCAACGGACCGCGAATGCATCGTCAATGCGTGCATTGACAGACCAATGACACCACTGGCTCTGAATATAGATCAGCCCCCTATAGTGCAAGGTTCTCATGCGTTGGTGTACATATGATGCCTGCGCCACGCCCCGTTCCCGCCGATGATTGTGAGGATGTGCTCTTGGCCTGCTCCTTCTCCCTCTCCTCCTTGATCACTGCCCGCGCATTCTTCAAGGCCCGATCTGCCGCCTCAGCCAAACGAGCGCTCTTCTCTTCCCAGGTTTCTGTTTTTTGCTCAGGTTGCTGCTGTTGTTGGTTATGCTGATGCTGCTGCTGTTGCTGGCGATCGCTGGCGCGCTGCTCGGCCTGTTGATTGCTGCTCGTCTCGATCGGCCTCGGGGCGTTGAGCATCTGAGCAGGCACTGATCCCCCTCCTCATCCCTGTTCCTCCGCCACGTCCTCCACATCCTCCTTCGCCATCGTCATGGTCCCCCTCCTCCTCCTCATGATCCTCATCCTCATCCTCCTCCTCATCCTCCTCCTCTTCCTCCTCCTCCTCCTCCTCCTCATCATCATCATCATCATCAGCAGCAGCAGCAGCATCATCATCATCATCATCATCATCATCTCCGACGTCTTCTCCTCTCCTCACGTGCATTATCATGCTCCTCCCGTCCTCCTTGTCCTTGCCATCATCCTCATGTCTGCTCTCCTCATCCCCCTCTCCTCCCCCTCCTCTCATCCTCCTCCTCCTCCTCCTCCACCTCCTCCACCTCCTCCGCCCTCCTCACATTCACCCTCATCATCACGCCCCCTACTCGCCGCGCCTGCCCAGACGCTCCACCAACTCGGGGCCCACCCCGTCCCGCAGCCATTCGGCCGCTTCCGCCGCGCTCAAATGCATGGCGCTGGGTCCGAGCGGAACGGGAGGGGAAGCTAGACTTTGTTGTTGTCCTTGAGCTTCCGATGAGACGGATCCGAACATTGGCAGTAGCCGTAATCGTGGCGATGCTAATGATTGTGAGGATGTCGAGAGCGATGACGCCCAAGGGGCCCCAGGGAGCGCACCGCCATTGAGTGGAAAGTGCGAAATGCACGCGTGGCGACTCGGGCCCCGTGATCACCGCAAAAAGGGTATTCGGTTCGGGCATGCCTCGCGGACGTGCGGGCCTAATCCCAATTCAGCGGGCGTTGGCACAGGCGGAGCAGGTTGGATGCAGTAGGAGAGTTGTGAGTAATGAGATGTTGGAGGAGGGAAGGGAGAACACAAGCAAATGAACAACAGCCGCGCCGACTCTCTGGCAGAGCGGTTCAAATTTGCCACTACGACCCCCGCCAGTGCAGCGCAGAAACCATCTGGATACTGTTCGGAAGTCTTGAGGCGCTTCCCGGATCCCGTGACCCAGCCGCCCCGTTTCCAACCACCGTCGGTGTTGTTCTCTGAGCGGGGGGTGACACGTGTCAGCGCAGCACTCTCATCAGTCTTTTCTGGCTGCAACTCCTTGAAATCACTAGGTGTTTTGGTGACCGCCAGTTGCTCTGACTTCGTCATCGTCGTAAAAAACTCCAATCGTTTCAATGTTTCCCCTCCGAAGCCGCCCATGCAAGATATGAAACGCGTCGCACCGCTCAACTCGATCAGCGTTGCAACATTCACATTGTGATAGAACAGCGAATTGATTGGTTGCTCAATGCAGAATCGAACACGCCTCGAGTTGGCATACATTAGGACCTCTGACCTGTGGCTGGGGATGTTGCGTCGCAGTCGGATGTGTATCTGGCGTCGGCATGGCAACGAGTTGGGTCAGAACGTTGGGCTATGGGGCGTTGGGAAGACGACACGCGGGAGCGA